CACCTGTGGGTCCAGTGGTGTCCTTTCATGGTATTTGGATGGGGACACCCATTAAACAGCCCTGGAGAACAGCCAGTCCTCTGAAGGAACAGTATGAATGAACTGTGAGCTCCGTCTCCAAGGGGGTGCTTGGCAGTTAGGCATGGCGATTCTGAGTCACGTGGCCACTTTAGATTCCTGCTTGTTTCTGGCCATAAGCTACGTCAAGAGACCATACAGACCCAACGTGGGGACACCTAGGTTTGCTGGGCGGGCAGTGGAGCATGTGTGTGCGTAAACTTTGGAAGTGAAGCAAACACACTGGCGTTCAGTGAGGGCCAACACTTACAACTATGCATCATATACCTTTCAACACATAGCAGTTGTTCTTTTTTTTTTTTTGGTTTTTCGAGACAGGGTTTCTCTGTGTAGCTTTGCGCCTTTCCTGGGACTCTCTTGGTAGCCCAGGCTGGCCTTGAACTCACAGAGATCCGCCTGGCTCTGCCTCCCGAGTGCTGGGATTAAAGGCGTGCGCCACCACCACCCGGCAGCAGTTGTTCTTTTACACACAAGGAAACAGGATTGTGGGGTCAAGCCCAGGTCATACAGCTCGTGATTGAAAAGGGGAGATCCAGACCTGGATCTGTCTGTCTGCACACTTGATGCTCAATCAGCATTGTCCTTTGAGGCTCCCAAAGGTCTGTGGCAAAGGGACGACCGAGTACCTGGACTGAGAGCATGAGGCCATCAGTAATGGAAGACGCTGTGGGTAGAGGCCAGGAGTATCTGCTAGCATGCAGAAATAACAGAAAATGGGCCGAGAGGGTTCCTTACAGCCAGGCAGAAATGTCCACTAGAATATGGGGGAGTGGATCACAGCACCCTAGAACTTGAGTACGTGTGAGCCTCGGGGAGGATTAGTAGCAGTGATGTTATGAGAAGTGAACCCTCTGACAGCTTGAATCAGGGTCACCCTTGTGTAGCTGAGGCTGTCCGTGCGCTTTCTCTGATGCGTCCACTCCAAGAGAGATGTGAAACATACCTGAAGATTTGCGCATTGTAAATGACCTGATGAGAGGCGGTACGGGAGCAGTAACAGCAGCCTGCCCTTCACTCGGGAGCCTCAGTCCAGATCTCTGCCAGTTACTCGTAGGGAGAGAGAAAATCGGAAATCTGACCCAGGAATCTGGAAGTCTAGAGAAACTTGTTCATTTACATATCTGCCCCCTGCCTGGAGCAGTTGCCCAGTAGGTGGAGGCTCTGTTTAGTTCAAGCTGCTTTACCAGCAGATGTCTGCTGGCTTTTCTGGTGACACAGGACTCACCAACATTCCTGTTGACTTCACTTCCCCTGTGTCTCCTCACTATTCCTTCTGTCTTCCTAAGTGTGGATGGAGTCCATGTTTTCCAAACTACCATCTTTCTTTCTGTCTTTCATGTGATTGGCATTTTAAGGGCTCAGGCTCTTGATGTGTCCCAGCAGTCTTCTTTTGGTCTGACTTCCTTTCTTGTCTTTTGGGATGGTATCATTACGTACATTTATCTTAAGAACTTTAGTCAAGACGTAATAACTACGACATTACAAGTAGCAGGCTAAGCCTGTATTGTTTCTTGCCAACTTCTTCTGGAACTGGGGGGCACTTTGTGGTTGTGACAGGGATAAGTTGTTATATAGTCTCTTAGAAGAAAGGAAGCAAGCTCAGGCAGTATATAGGAAATAACCAACTTACATGTGAGTCCATTGTACACCTGTTCTGTGTGTTGTATTTTCTGGTCACTTCCAGTTGGTTGATTTCCAATTTTTGTTAGCCTTGACAAGAGTTCAAGGTTCCTGAGCATTTTAATAGCAGCAGTGATCTCCTCTGTAAAACATTTTTATCCAAATCTTCTGTGAAAAGGTTTGTTGCTGATGTACTGATATTAAAAGTGTGATTCGTGTTAAGCCATATAGAAACCCTTCGTCCACAGTCATTTATGTCCAACTGGGTTTCTCTTTCTGAGCCGGCTGCTGACCTTTAACTGGTCTAATCTTGCTGGAGCCCATGTTCTCCCACTATCCCTCTGCAAAACCTGTCTTTTGAATGACATCCACCATAAAAATAGTTTTTTATAGGTCTTGGGGATTTTGAAATCTTTTTTGTTACTGTTATGAGCAGTGTCCCTTATAGCCCAGGCTGTCCTTGAACCCCTGATCCTCCTGTCTCTACTTCTCAAGGTTCTGGGATTATAAGTGTGCACCATCATACTGTAGCACGAATCTCAAAAGGTCTTATTAATGAAAACAAACCTAAGCCAGGTATTGGGGTGAACGCTGAAAGATCAGAGAAGCAGAGCAAGCCACAGACAGCTTCCTCACTTCTCCAGTTCCTCAGCTGATCTTGTTTCCTCAGACTGGAAGCCTCTGAGTCCTCATCCAAAATGGATCTCAGCTGAACTGCTACTCATAGCCTGAAAGCTTAGCCAGGCAAAAGCTTAACCAGCTCTAGTTCCTGGTTTTCACACCTTATATACCTTTCTCAATTTTTTTTATTGTTGTTTTGTTTGTCTATTTATTTATTTTGAGACAGGTTTTTTTTTTTTTTTTTCTGTGTAGCCCTGACTATCCTGGAACTCACTCTTTAGACCATGCTGGCCTCAAACTCAGAGATCCACCTGCTTCTGCTTCCCAGGTGCTGGCATTAAAGGCGTGTGCTACCACCGCCAGGCTATAAGCCTCAAATTTAAGGAAGAAACAGTGGGTTTTGAATTTCTAAACAGGCATGGTCTCTTTTAGATGTGCTGAGAACAAAGTAGACTGACTCGGACAAGATGATGAGTTGATTTAATTTTCTACTTACTCATAGGGAAGGTCATGACTAGAAGAGTCTCATGTTCCAGTTCTGAATAGGAACAGTGGCAAGGATTGAGATGTAGCTGAGTGATAGAGGGGTGCTCCGCATTCCTGAGGTCCTTCAGCTAGCGTGAGCTTAAAAAACCCCAAGAAGTATAGAAACGGCACATTTCCATGAAGTGAAGCCATGAAATGTAAAATGTCAAACACTTACACCTTTTGCTGGAATTAAAGGAACCAATTAGAAGTTCTGGTTGGCAGCCAGTGAACATGGCCAGTTAAATATTTTTGAAAGCAGCTTTTTGTTTGTGGACAAGGAGCCTTGGAGGTAGAAATGGAGGTAGAAATGGATGGTAGAAGGCTCTCCAGGGAGCCGGAGGTTCTTGTGCTGTGTTGCAGTGGTATGGGAAGCCCACCAGGTGGCACCAAGGATTTGCTTACCCCTGGGTCCCCAGCCACTGTAAAGCATTTGAAGCTCATTTCAACTTACACCTCTTTGTGAGTATGACTCCAGAGTCCCTATGCCCTTAGTTCTAGTCCCCAGACCCCCGTATTGTTATTACCCATCATCTTTTAGCCTCTTGCCACATTCTGTGTATAAGGAAGGCTGTGGGCATTGGCTCCCCCTTCAGGTAGTACTCTGCTCAAGACCTGACTTACTGTTGCCCCTCCCTTTTCCTTTTAAAATGAGATACATAGTCCAGGCTGGTCTTGAGCTCCCTAAGTGTACAGCCAAAGGTGGCCTTGAACTTCTGATCCTCTTGCCTTCACCTGGATGCTAGGATTACAGCCTACTCCATCACCCAGTTTATGTTGTGCTAGAGGGTCAGTGCCAGGTTCAGGACCCCTGAGCATCGTTAGTATCATCTACTGGGGATTGGTGAACCTGGTGTGAACGCACAACTTCCCTTCTCAGCCCTTTGGCTTTAACAAGCTCACTTGCCCTGGTTGAGCTGGCCGCTCTTGGGGATAAGAATTTTGAACCTGTGGACAGTGTAGTTTCATAAACTTCGCTCCGTACTGAGCCCCAACCAACCATTTTCAGTATGTTCAAAGACCGTTGTAGGTGTCATTCCTGTGGTTGGGTCTTCCCTGAAGTCCTGTAGTTGGTTGTGGCAATGTGTGACAGACAGTAGATGGCCATGGAGTTCTGGGCTGTGTGCAGTGTGGATAGGAGTTTGTAAAATCAGAAAAGACCCCTTTGTTGGCTCTGATCTCGCTGCCGCCTTACTTGGACAGGGAGCCTGCAGCCAGGGCTGTCTGACGAGAGGAGACCTGCTGACCGAAGGCAGGGCTTGGAGGCACACTGCAGGCTGCTCCTCTGGCTAGGGACATTTTATCAGGGACATTCAGCTTTTGTTTTTTAGGTGACAGATGAGGCTTTTAAGTGTATTGGAGGAGTACGGCCAGCCTATGCAGCCAACTTGTTTTCTCCTTTTCTCGTTGTGTGGCTACCTTTCCAAAGTGTCTGATTTGACAGCATAATTTAGAAGTTCAATGTTTGATGGTCCAGGAGCATTTGAAACTAAGCAAAAGCAGTTGCACGTGCTTAACTAGAAGAAGTGAGCTGCGATCGAAGTGATCTAGAAAGTTCCGTTGATGGATACTTCTTCACAGGCTAGCTATTGTTCCTTGGTGAGTTTGCTAAACCAGGGCTGTTTTTATTGTGAGAACTGGGATGTTGAAGCCAGCTGTTTTGACTTCTACTGTGTAGAGCGTCAAAAGCTCTGATTATGAGATGAAGAGAAAATGACAGCTTTTTCCCACTGAAAATTTAGTGCATGCTCGTGGCACCCTTCCTCCTCTGTCCTGCTCTTTGGGGTAGCATTATTTTAAAGACTGGTTAGAACTGGCCTGCCCGATATTCACCTTTGTTTGACTCTTGTAGACAGATTTCTAAGCAGTCTTATTAATTAAGAAACATGGAGCCAAATACAGGGGTGAAAGCCGTAGAGATGAGAGTGATAGCCACCAACTAACCTTAGCTCACCACGTCGCCGTAGCTTCTTCCCGAGAGAGCCTCTTCCTGCCTGACGTGCGCCTTTATTCCTTGTTGTTTTCCTTAGCAGTTGGACTGTGATGCGCTGGGTACACTGAGGCTGCTTACAGAGCTTTTCTGATAATGCGTCTAAGGAGTTGTGGGAACAAAACTTTGGAAACTGTTGGCACTAATTGGGCTGCTTTGTTTTTAGGTGATCGGTGAGGACAACGTGGCAGTCCCCTCACACCTTTACAAGGTGATTCTGGCTCGCAGAAGCCCAGAATCTACTGAACCACTGGCACTGGGAGCCTTTGTGGTGCCAAACACAGCCATTGGGTTCCAGTCCCAGTTAACTGAGTTCCAGGTGAGCCTCCAGGACCTAGAAAAGATGTCAGGTCTGGTGTTTTTCCCCCATTTGGACAGAACCAGCAACATCCGGAATATTTGCTCTGTGGACACCTGTAAGCTCCTAGGTTTCCAGGAGTTCACTCTGTACCTGAGCACCAGGAAGATCGACGGAGCCCGTTCTGTGGCCAGACTGGAGAAGGTCCTGGAAACTTTGAAGAGCTCGGGGGTGGAACCTGACGATTACTTCCTGAGTCGCTATGGGAAGAAGCTAGAGGAACTGAAAGCTAAGGAGCAGGCGGACACACAGCTGGGAAAGCTGTCCTAGTGCGGGCGGGTGTGCGCTGTCGCCCGTGGTGAACAGGCGCAGGCACGCCTCTCCAGGAGGTTGTATCTTAGCTGATTGGTTTTCTTTTTTTCTTTTTTTGTTTTTGTTTTTGGTTTTTTTGAGACAGGATTTCTCTGTGTAGTTTTGGTGTCTGTCCTGGATCTCCCTCTGGCTGGCCTCGAACTCACAGAGATCCATCTGGCTCTGCCTCCTGAGTGCTGGGATTAAAGGCGTACGCCACCATTGCCCGGCTACAGATTTTCAAGAAATGATGGAATCCTGACTAAAAATCCCTCCAGAGACTCATTAGCTCAAAACTCAGTGTTGTTTTCTTTCACTAGGCTCTGCGTTGGTGGAGGTGGTTTTAGAGCCCCTCTCTGAGTGTGTCCAGATACACTGTGTGGTTTACTTCTTGCTTCTCCTCTCATGACCCTGGTGTCCGTCCTTCTGTCTGTGTTGAAGCTTTTCCCAGTGTGCTCTGTATGCCATGCTTTGCCTGCGTTGTCTGACAGCGAGCCTCTGTGCAAACCCACTCTCCCATTTTACATGTGGGGAAGTTGAGGCTTAGAGAACTTTGTGTCTTCCCCATTGGTAGTCTACAGAAGTCATCCAGCGCACCTCAGCGTTAAGACGAGGTTAGATGGGGTTTGACTCAAGTATATACCTCTATCTGGGGGTATTCCTGGTCCTAGGGTCTGCTTGCTGAGAAGGGTCTCTGTGCTGTCTCCTCAGGCAGACGCTTCGATGCCAGCCTTGGGAAGGATAGAGCAAAGATGGAGGTTCTCTGTAGGTTTGACCAGAGCCTGGGGTTCCCTCCAGGGATCACACGGGATGGGACAGGTGTGTTTCTTCCTTCGCTGGGGGCCTTCTAAAGGAGCCCAGGAAAGGTGTGTACCGAGAGTACTGCCGGGCCAGCACACCACAGGTAGGGAGAGCCTGGGCCAAGGTCCAAACCAGCTCACTCCTGTGCCAAGAGCAGCTGTCTTCTGGCTTCCTGTGCTGCTCTTTGGCTGTGGCTTCCAGAGTCTTGAGCTGTCCTAAGTATAGCCAGTCCAGTAGCCTCCAGGCAGAAGGTCTTGTCTCAATCTGTCACTCTGCTACTGTCTTTCAAGCAGCGGTATGAGGGCAATCTTTGAGGCCTTGTGTTTGCCTCTGATAGAAATGCCGTGGCTTTACAATAAAGATAAGGCAGTGGTTGACCCTGCTCTGCTCCTTCATTTGAGTAAAAAGAAAAAGTTGGGTCGGGCACAGTAGCTGATTAATGCCATTCTGTTTTATCTTACCGTTCCCCATTAGCTGGTGCCAGCCCTTCTAAGGATAGAAAGCCAAAATGTCACTGTGACCAAAAAAATCGGTTACTTTCTCTCCTCAGAGAGGTGATGGTGGGGCCTGGCTGTTTCTCCAGGAGCCCTAGGAGGCGTGGGGGCCTGGATGGGCTGTGTCCTAGGCCCCTCCCCCATGGCCGTGCTCATTCTTTTGTGCTGGCCTGACTTGCTGGTGGCCGTGGAGGTACCCCCTGACCCCTGCCTCTCCTCCCAGATGGTGAAGAATCTTGACTGTATCAGTAAGTTAATGTATCTTGGGATTATATTTCCTATGAAATATTTCCTGGTCATCATAAAAAACAGAGATAAGAACATAACAAAAACACAGTATGCCAGACCTCATTTTGTTTTTCTTTGGGATCTTTATATGAGTGTTTTGCTTGTATGCATCTGTGCCCACAGCGTGAGTGCCTTTGCCCACAGTGGTTAGAAGAGGTCATAGGATCCCCTGGAAATGGAATTACAGATGGTCCTGAGCCGCCATGTCAATGCTGGGAATTGAATCGGGGTCCTCTGCAAGAGCAGCCAGTACTCTTAAGCACTGATCTCATTTTTTATGTGTAAAATTTATATTGATGTACAACAGTGGTGTTTGAATTGTTGTGTGGACATTTTCATTAAGAGTGCCCAAAACAAAGGTTTAGAATTTCCCTCTGGGTAGGGTCACTCTGGCCCCCTTGATTTTTCTGGATTCTAGTGCAGTAGATCCCTGGGCCTCACGTGAGTCAGAGACATAATGTTGTGACCCGCCAAACCTGAGTGGTTCACTGTCCCCTTGTTACCTTGGTGGGTTCCCTCAGGCTCACAGGCTGAGCCTGGACCACTGCCCTCTGTACCATTTACCCTTCTAGTTCCCGGTCTGAAGGTGCGGCCAGGCTGGGAGGGCTCTCCTGGGGGAAGTCTCTTTGGGTAGGGGATTTAATCCTTAGTCTGTCTCAACTTCCAGTGACATCTTCAGACTCTGGTCTCTGGACTGAGGCTGTTGGCCCGAGTTGAACACAGCAAAGGCCTTACTGAGTTAGGAAGGTTAGGGAAAGGGATGCCAGCCCTGAACTACACACGCGCACACACACACAGTGCAGCTGTTTCTGCACCTACATCTGAACAGTAGAGACCTCTGTCCTCCTCCTAGGCCTTTGATTAGAGCCTGGCAGGAGAGGCAGCCTGATCCTGAGGGAGCGGCTTCCTGCAGAGCTTGCAGCCCGACACTAGAGTGATCGACAGTGTTGCCATGTCACGTGTGTCCCCTGCCTGTCCCACTCCGTTTATCGCAGACTTCATGCTAACAGCCTGTTATGGCGGGGATCTAACATGCGTCCCATCAGCACATCCCCAACCTGGGCAGTTAGAGGTAGTCAGTAGAGGTGGGCTTTGAAAGCTGTACCCCACTTGGGTCTGGCTGTGTACTTTGCTTCCTGCTACCATGTGGACACGCTCCACCTCATGATCCTGCCTCGCAGACAGCCGTCCTGCTGCCGTGCCTTCTGGGCCATGGTGGACTGAAGTCCCTGCAGGCGTGAGTTCAGAGAAACCCGTCCTGGAGTCGCTTCTGCCGGGTGACTTGTCACAGTGACAGACGCGACACTCGGCCTACCCTAACCCTGAACCCGCTCGCTGCGGCTCTCCTTCCTGCTTGGCCCCCAGCCCTTGGCCTTTTCTTTCCTGTGAGCCTTTCCAGTACACCTCTATCTTTAGGCCCCCAGAGCCGCCTCACCGGTTTGCCCTGGTGGGGCTGGCCTCACACTGGGGTGGATCTGCATTCAGCCTCACTTTGAGAAAGCAGTCAAGTTACCAGAAAAGACCAAGCAGGGGGCTTTGTTTGCCTTTGGTCCTGAACCCCATGTAATTGGGGACAATGGGATTGGTTATGGACATTGCCAATGTGGAGCTAGGATTTCTCTGGTCTGAGTGTCCAGAGTACCTCTAGGGGTCAGTATGGCCTCCTCTTCACAAGGGTCAGCTAGGCTGGGCTGTGACAGCAGCTGCAGTGGCTGCTCAAAGCCTCACAGAATGCCTTACATGCCGGCCTCCGCCCTGAGGCTGCCAGGAGAGCGGCGGTTGCCTCCTCCAGCAGGCCTCGGGTTTTTACTCCACGGTGATCTCGTACCTTTATCTCTCTCAACTGTGTGTTCAGAAGTTTCAGGCTTCAGAGTGTTGGAGAGCGCAGTGATTGGTCCTCCCAGTGTTTTGTCTCAATGGCTCCTCTGTTGGTTGTTTTTTCTTTTGGGGGGCCCGCCACCCAGCTCCCAGATAAATCACACATGGAGGCTTATTCTTACTTATGAATGCCTGGCCTTAGCTGGGCTTAGTTTCTAGTCAGTTTTACTTAAATTATCCCTTCTGCTACCTTTAGCCTCTGGGCTTTCCCATTCTCTTACTTCCATAAATCTTACTCTTACTCCGTGGCTTGCTGTGTAGCTGAGTGGCTGGCCCCCGATCATCATCATCATCATCATCATCATCTCCATCTCCTCCTCCTCCTCTTCCTCCTTTCCTCCCAGATTTCTCCTTCTATATATTCTCTCTGCCTGCCAGCCCCACCTATCCTTTCTCCTGCCTCATGATTGGCTGTTCAGCTCTTTATTAGGTGTTTTAGACAGGCACAGTAGCACAGCTTCACAGAGTTAAACCAATGCGACATCAACAAAAGTAACACAGCTTAAAATAGTATTCCCCAACATCTCTCCACCTGTAGCCTTTAAAATTAATTTGTTGTCCCTCTGAAAAAGTTGAGGCACAACAAGTTACTGTTTAATACCTGAACTTAATGTAGCCTATGATTAAGGACATTCCTCTATATTTCTGAAATATGTTATTAAATCTAAGAAAATTACCAAAATTTCTGCCAGGTTTGGTACATGTCTAAATCCCAGCAATTAGGAGGGAGAGGCAAGAGGGCCGTGGCAGCCTGGCTACAGAAGATCCTGTTTGAAAAAGGAAAGTTTATCAAGAATCCATTTTAGTAGTCCCTATTAAAATTTGCCAAGTTATCCAAAATACCGTTTATACTTTTAAATACATAGGCTTCAATTTTAAGCTCCATGTTGAATTTTATTGATCTAGATCAATTAATCTCAACATGTGGGTCATGACCTCTTTGGGGGGGTCAAACCACCCTTTCACAGGGGTCTCAGACCATTGGAAAACACAGATATTTACATTACAGTTCATAACAGTAGCAATTTTTTTTTCCCGTTCTTCAAAGACAGGGTTTCTCTGTGTATAGCCATTGGCTGTAGATGAGGCTGGCCTTGAACTCACAGAGATCCTACCTCAGTTTCCTGAGTGCTGGGATTAAAGGCATGTGCCACCACTGCCTGGCTAACGGTAGCAAAATTACAATTATGAAGTAGCAACGAAAATAATTTTATGGTTGGAGTCACCACAACATGAGGAACTGCATTAAAGGGTTGAAGCGTTAGGGAGGTTGAGAACCACTGTTCTAGAGCAATTATCCACTTGATTTAAATATGTATATGGATTTTTCAACTGCTCCCTTGAGATTTTGATTCAGGAGATCTGTTAGGAGGCTGGAATTTGCATTATTAAGAAGTTATTTTATATGTATGGATGTTTTGCTTGCATGTATGTCTGTGTATCATGTGCATCCCTAGTGCCCAAGTAGGCCAGAAGAGGTCAGACCCTTGGGACTGGAGCTATAGATGGATGGTTGTGAGCTGCCATGTGGGTGCTGGGAATCGAACTTAGATTCTTTGGAAGAGCAACCAGTGCTCTTAACCACTGAGTCATCTCTCCAGCCCCGATTTTCATTTTTTGATTTAAAACATGTGTGTATGTGTGCACGCCGTGCCCTTGAGGCCATGGGTGTGAGGATGTGCACAGTGTATGTGGCGATGAGGACCTCAGCTGTCAGCTGTCAGTCCTTACCGTCTGCCTTGTTTGAGGCAGTCTCCCGTTGAGTGCTGTGCACACCAGGCTAGGCGGCTCGTAAGCTTCCGAGGTTCTGGCTCTGCACCCCCATTTCGCCTTAGGAGTGTTGTGTGATTACAGACATATCTGGCCCTACCTGTGTTGGGGAATTGGCACTTGGGTCTTCACACTTGTGGAATTGATGGCTTACCCAATGAACTGTCTCCCCAGCCCTGGAATATGTAATTTAAAAAGAAGAATGGTGCGTGGAAACATCTTCCAAATGTGAAGATAATTTTCTCTGTTGAAGAGAACTTTGTCCTTTTTTCTCTTGGGTTATTGCATATTTTTTTGGAGGGGGGGTACTACATATGCATATGTCCTAGGTTTCTTTTTGATATTTCTCTTCGTATTAGAGAAACTGTTAAGCTTAATAAAATTTGGTTGTTTTATGATTTGTTTTTAAAAAAGAAGAACAATGGTGATTGTGATGAGCAGCCATGCTGTTCCCTCTATGCCCTCACCTTCCTGCTGATGCTGGTTTCTGCCTGAGGGTGTTTCAAGAGAGGAAATTCGTAGACACTGGGGCCCCTGACTTACATGTTCTTGTACAGGGCCCTTCACAGTACAACACTCAGGAAGTGCTGCATGGAGTCCAGGGAGTGGCTGACCCCTAAGCATGTTCCAGTTTTCTCACCGTGTGTTGGTCTTTCAGTTGATGCGCCGTCCAGTCAGTGTGTCGCTGTGTGTTTGGATTGTCAGTCTGTGGGTCACAAAGGGGAATCTTGTTTTTTTTTGGAGACAGGGTTTCTCTGTGTAGCCTTGGCTATGCTACAACTCACTCTGTAGACCAGGCTGGCCTCGAACTCAGAGAGATTCGTGCACTTCTGCCTCCCGAGTGCTGGGATTAAAGGCGTGCACCACCACCACCACCACCGCCTGGCTACAAAGGGGAATCTTATGTATGTCAACTGTTAAGGTTTCCTTGTTGCAGTTTCTACCCATCTCAGACAAGTTCACATCCATGATGGTTCGGATTTATTTAGCCAACTGACTTGTTAGCTGTGCCTCTCAGCTCTGACATTGCAGACTGAATAAACAGGCTTTCTGTGTGTGTGTGTGTTTGTTAAAAACAACTGATGGAGACAAAACAGGGAAATCCTGTTAGAACAGAATTCATTTTACGTGGCATCCCATATCGTATGTTCACCCATTTCATGTGATACTATGCTCTGATAATTTATGTTAAGTTCATATTTGTTTCTTTACAAAGAAAGGATAACAGTGGCTGGGCATGGTGTAATCCCAGCTTGTAGGTGGATCTCTACTGAGCTGGAGGCCAGACTGGTCTGCAGAGTGAGTTCCGGGCCAGCAACATAGTAAGACCTTGTCTCAGAACAGCAACAACAAAACCAGTAATTAATTTATGCACAATACAGAAATGAGTCTCCATGATAGTTTGCCTGTGACTCACTATAGGCCTGCCACATCTGTAGGTCCATGGGGTGTGGCTGGACCAAGGCTTTGGAGGTAGGAGCAGGCGGGGTAGGCTTGAGATGGGGACCCATCTCATCTTCCCGTGCTTCAGCAGGGCAGCCTTGGCCAGCTGACTTCTGCCTTCTTAATGAGGCACCAAATATGGGAGCAGGTTGAGAGGATTGCATACAGAGTGTGCAGGTGGGTAAGTTCTTATGGTAGCCAGTTACTTGATTGCCAGCTTACCGGTGACTGGTGGAGATCAGTGAGAAGGTGCAGGGCAGCCTGTGATCTTAAGCTGTGGACCAGGCAGGACAGTTCTGTGTTTCCGTAAACCCTGAAACTAACACGTTGCTACGTACCACCACATCAGTGTTTTTCAGCCCTCCAAGCTCTTCCTCGTCCAGGTGCCTGCGTTTGGGAGGGGCTGTGAGGAAACTCAACTCTAAGAACTTGGGTTTCCAGCCTGTGGTCTAATGCCCACCCCTGTCTCTCAAGGTTGTTCAGTAATTATCACTTGGCTTAATTCAGTCTTTCATGCATCCACTCAACCCTGCTAATGTGCTAGAGGCAAACACGTAATGGAGTTGACTCCTTTCCTTTCCCGTTGAGTTCACAAGTAATAGCTGGTTAAATGTTTGGAGTTACCCAACAAGGCAGAAAAACTGAGTGAATTCTGTTGAGTACTAGTGTTCCTGTTCTCCCAGTGGGGGATCCAGGAAGGCTGGAGACAGTCTGGGGACAATAGAGTAATGGGCTGAGACCAGAGTTGTGCGTTGCTGACCCTGTGGCCTGGTCCCTCAGTCCCCAGGCTTTAGGCCCTGCTGTGTCTCATCTCTGGCCTGAGGCGATCCTTTATGGTGGGCAGATGGGAGAAAGGTGGTGAGTGTGCTGAGCAGGGGCTCCTGAGTGCTTCTGCAGGAAGCAGAGCTCAAGTTAGATCTTCTAGCTGTGTGCAGGTGTGAAGCCCTGCCCTCTCCTACCCCCAACCTGGATCTCAGGGTGTGTCTGTTCTTGTCCCCCTCCAGGCTCACTTCCCACAAGATGAAATGTCCTGCCTCAGCCTCTGTCTGATCCTTTCTATCCAAATGTCCTCGAGGGCTGCAGGCACGGGGGCAATAGCAGGCAGTGGCCTGAGTTCCGGACAGAGCTGGCTCTTTGTTCCACCATCAGGCAGGACAATATTTTAGTCCTCTCCTACTACCCATAAAAGACCCCTGCCTTCCACTGGCCTTCCAGTGCATAGGCTCTGTGTCTCCCTTCCCCACCCTCTCGACACCCTGGAGAGCACCTGAGACCCCTTGCCAGCCCTTGTCATCTGACCCAGTGAAGGAGAGCTGCTCTAGTCTGTGCACAGATGGAACACTGGCCTCTTGTCCTAGGTGAGTGGAGCCAGGACTGCACGATGTATGTCCTTGTGCCATCTTTCCCTGTGTGACTCTAAGACTCAGGCTGACACAAGTAACTGTGCCCATCACCCCCCTCCACTAAGCTTTTCTTTGGTCTGTAGGCTGTGGCTTAGACCCTAGCATGTCTGGTCTGGGGTCAGCCTGGATTCTGACTCTGACTCTTAGGTGTGTTTGCGATATGATTTCAGGTTAGCGGCACCTTACTCCTCAGTCCCCTACCTGTTAGGTAAGGAGATGGGCTAGACAGTCCCAAGGGTCCCTCCCCACTTGGTGTCCTTTAGTTGTGCAGGGCAGAGTGTTTTCCTGGGGAACGGCCATCCGTAGGCGTGGTTTGCAGAGGAGGTAGGGTGCAGGTGGAAGGAGACCGCAGGGCCAGGCAGAGTGGCTGAGGGCCTCTGAGGAGGTGTGAATGAGGAGGCAGAGCAGGACTGGTGTGGACAGCCCTGTCCCTGCCTTATCTCCTGTCCAAGACACCCTCTCCACACCCCAGCCCTGATAAGCAGGTGTGAGCCATGGCCGCCTTGTGACAGGCCCTTCGGCAGGGAGGGTGATGGGGGGAGGGGGGGTCCACTCCACTTCTGAACTCACGTCAGCATCTTTCTCCCTTCACTCCTGTTTCCCTTCAGACTAGACAGGCCCAATGAAAATGGCATCATTCCTGACCCTCAGTCTTGGCTCTAAGATGTCTTTTCTGCTGCCTGAGGTTCGGTGAGGAGTACATCTTGCCCAGTTTTTTGGCAAAGTGCCAAGGAGGAGGGGTCATCCCATTCCCCACCCCCAGGAACAGTTCCTGCAGTGACCCCTGTTGCTGGGCTTGGCACATCCAGCATTTCTTATCACCTCAATGACTGGACCTCTTGTCTCCTCAGTCAGGTGCCAGCCAACTTCCAGCCGCTCTGTCTGGGTCCACATTTTCCTCTAAGGCCCTAGCCATTGCTCAGAAGCCGTTATCCAGGCCAGGGAGCTGCCTTAGCAGGTTAACAACACTTCCATCAAACTGGACAACCTGAGTTCAGTCCCCAGGATCCTTGTGGTAGAGGAAGAGAACCAACTCTCATAAGTTGTCCTCTGAGCCCCACTTGTGCTCTGACATCCGTGCACACACACACACACACTATAAAAAAGGTCAAGATCCTTTGTTGGTAGATTCATGAGAGTGAGATGGGCGGAGAAGTCTTGGAGAAAGAAACAAATTTGGAGCTCTAGAGAAGACAATGCTGAGCCAAAACCACAGGAAACCCTCAGGACTCAGGGTTTCTCCAGGTTCCTGTTCCCTACACTCTAAGCCCTCAAGGCTTAGGGCTCTAAGCTGAATGTCCACCTTCTGAAAGCCTCAGGTCTGAAGATAAAAATCTTGATCTTTCAGACTGCAAACGTTCTGCACCAGACAGCTGTGTGCTGTGTGCATGTTTGTGTGCACGCGTGCGTGAGTGTCCGTGCATGTCCCAGTGTGTGTGTGGGGGGGGTGTTTGTGTGCACACGTGCGTGAGTGTCCGTGCGTGTCCCTGTGTGTGTGCTGTGTGCATGTTTGTGTGCACACGTTCGTAAGTGTCCGTGTGTGTCCCTGTGTGGGGGGGGAGGGGAGAGAAGCAAGGAGAGTGAGGGGGAGAGGGGGAAGGAGAATGTGGGGATAAGAATTGCTCTATGTGCTCTGTCGGGTCCCATGCTCAGCTTTCTGCATGACTCAGGAGGCAGAGCAGTGTACTGGCTAAGCACAGACTCAAGCCAGACAGGCTGACTTGGTGTCACATCCTAGCTTTGTCATTTTAGCAGATAGGGAAGCTCGGACAAGCAGCTTAATCACTGTGTGCCTCTGTCCCCCCAACCCCCATAAGCCGAAGCACCTGATTTTAATGTGAGATTGTGCTATATAAACCAGAGCATCATGTGAATACCAAACAGCCCTCATAGGAAACACCATGTGACTGTTGGCTACTAATATTTTAGTAAATTTTATTTTAATGTCATGGCAAACTCAGAGAAACATTGCAGCAATTCCCATGTACTTTTTATGCAGGCCATCGCTGTCTGTGTTTTACTCGCTTAGATTATCATTCTATGCTCATGTATATACATAACCTCTACATTATACATCTGTGAAACAACATATAATACAACTGCATACACATTTTTCTGAATTATTTAAGAATAAGTTGAAGATAATTGTGGTTTCTGTCACCTTCTAAATTTTTCATTCTCAAAGGGGGGGGGTGGTGGCACACACTTTTAATCTGGCACTTGGAAGGCAGAGGCAGGTGGATCTCAGTGAGTTCGAGGCCAGCCTGGTCTACAAAGCGAGATCCAGGACAGCCAGGGCTGTTACATAGAGAAACCCTGTCTGGAAAAACAAATTCTTCATTATCTGATGGTAAAGGTATACTCCTATAAAGCCACAATGCAGTTGCTAAAATCATGAATTCTAGCATTGATCCAACACTGTCATCTAGTCCATGTCCCTGTTCACACGCCATCAGTTGACTGGATCTTTTCTCCTTTATGTCTATTATTTACTGTCCCTGAATCACCCATCACATCTAATTGTCATGGGCTTTCAGCATCCTTCAATCTGTAAAAAATCGTCACCTGTTCTTTGTGTGTCTTGAACTTGACATTCTGAACAGGACAGGACAGCAATTTTGTAGAATGCTGCTGCTCGGATTCTATTTGATACTGTCTGCTGGTTTCAGGCTATGCATTCTGGACAAGATTATTGCAGAGGTGACGCTGGGTATTTCTGACATCAGGCAGCACATGGTGTCCTTTCCCACCCATTGGAAATTCTACCATTGGTTGCTTGGTTGCAGTCTGCCTGGTCTTCTGTATATAGTTCCTTTTTCTTTGTTCTTAACACGTAATTACGGGGAACTGTGTTGATGTCCTATTCTTTACCAACTTTACCCAATGTTTTTCACCCCTCTTAAGTTCCTGCCTGGCCCTTCCAACCTGGCTTCTGTGTCTTTTGACATCCCTCCATCAGTCTTCAGGCACTTTATGTTCTAGCACAACACAATGTTCCAGGCACACTTGGTGTTTTCTCTGCTCTAACCCTGAATTAACCACTTTACCTAGGAGTTCTGGTTCTTTTTAGTGGACAATGATACTAAAAACCAAGATTTAGGTGTTGATACACTGGTTGACACTGGCATGTCCCTGCTTCCAGCTGATGTTTCTATGTGCGCGCAATGGTGGGAGACAGCTGAAGAGATCATGAGTGAGATGACCTGTGT